CACTTCACTAGGTTGCTACACTCCTGTATTATAAAATTATTAGAAATAGTAAATATAAATACTTACTATATAAGCTTATTTTAACAACATTTTTTGATATGCATGTTTTTTTTTTTATGATATCTGACCAAATTTTATCAAATAACTGAAGCTCATTGTTAGATGCAGAATTTAAAATAAAAAACACAAGTAAATAAAACCTGAACATGTTAAGTAAAAGAATTAATAACTATAAATTAAAGTATATTCAGATATAAAATTCTTATAATAAAACTTACTAATTCATTAATTTAATGCTTGATATAGTTTTCTTGTTCCAAATATTTTTTTACTATTATTTAACATGATCTGTTATTGTTCCAAATAAATTTATTCTGTAGTACAACTATATTATTAATTATTACATTGATGCATCTCTAAAAAATTTACTAAAAAATTCTATTAGTTTTTTTTTTTTATTAAATTATCTGAAATTTTTTTAACTGTATAACTATATTATTTAGGTATTAGATGTTATTTGACTTGTTTTTTTTTTTTTAGCATGAATAATTGACATACTTTTACTAATAAAATATAACTATAGTTAAATAATATTTCTTTCTTGATTACAAGATAATTAACAAAGATAAATATTAAATTTTAAATGCAAAATTATCAGTTTTATGAATATTACAAATTAACTATTGTTTTTACATATATTCTATAATTTATTTGGTCTAAAAATAAAAAAATATTGCATATTGTGCTTTAGAAATATCATATGTTTAACCATATTTGGTTGAAGCCTGTTACATAATACTGTAATATGTAAGCTAGCATCTGAAAATAAGCATTCAGAAGAAACTGATATAGCTGGAGCTGACAGATACTTTCGAGCCAAGTTTGATAACATAGGATACTTTTTCATATTATCTCTCTATTATTTTAATGGATTACATTTTCTCTTTTGAATAAGTTTGTGAAAATAATAATCAACTTTAGGCTCTTTAATTATTTTATCTGATTTTTCATTATTATATAAGTCTGTCATCAAATTATTATCTGTTGTGGATTTAAAAGTTAACATACTAGAAGATCCAACAAACTTATCATTTTTTAAAATTTTTTGAATAGAGTTGTGATATTCTGTTTCAATGCAAAGTCTTTGTACTGCACTTATTATATTTTCCTTTACATTAATATCATTAATAAATTTTAAGTTTTTTATCTGTGGGTTCAAAAATGATACAATAAGTCCAACTTCTTTAGAAACTTCTCAATATTTTTTGAAAGAGAGATAGCTTGTTGCCTTGACCAAATTATATAAATTATAATATCAACAGGCTGCACTATTGAATGACTATCTAAAAAGATAAAAATAATATTTAGTAACTAATAAGAGAAAAGAAGAACAATTAGAATAATTAAAAAAAAAGTATATATAAGTAAAAAACCTCTAAAGTGTAAATTATTATATTACTTATAAGTATTTTTTTTGATTCTTCTGTAGTCTTGTTTTTTTCATCCTTATGATACCTGTAATGGTCACTGAAATTGTTCTAAAATCATTAATACTCCAGGTTCATAATCTGTATCTGAATCATCAAAACTTTTATCAGAATTTTTATTAGAACTCTTATCATCATTTATTAGTTGACTTTGGTCATTTATTTGTTCACTAGATTCAAATAAAAAATCAGCATAAGCTTCCTCTGTTTGCTCATTAGAAAACATAAACTTTTTAATAAGCAATCTCATCATTGGATAAATAAGATTAAGTGTAGGATAATTTGAGCCAAAAAATAAAGTAGTAGCTTCATAAAATAGTTTTAGTAATAAGATAAGATGATCTAATAGTTGCCACTCATTTGTAGTTAAGTTTATTAGCTTCAAATATTTATCATCAAGATGGTCATACTGTAATAGAATTTACTTTTTTTTTCTATATTAGTATATATTTATTTTTAGCTCTATATTATATTTTATATTTT